AGCAAAACCCAAAACCCACAGAAAGCAGTTACAACAAAACTAGGCATATCAATGAACTCTAACGTGCAATTAGGTGAGAATAAACCCTTTCACAACCACAAGACCTATGGGTTATCAACTTCTATAAGGGAGAAAGTAGAGAGAAGCAACAGATGGTAGACAAAACTGAGAAGAGGAGACTCCCCAGATAGCTGACAGATGTTGACTACCAAGCATGACGGGCCAATTAGAGAACAGCCGCTGGACTGGGAAGGACTTTGCCCACTCAATAGCTGATGAATGCAGGGAGCTCAAGACGAGAAGGAATCAGGGGCTAGAGTTTTCTGGCACCCACAAGGGTCCCACCGGAGCTCCTCTCCAGGGCAAGGCCCACACTGAGGAGAAACTGCTCGGTATAGGGAAAGTTCAGATAAAAGTGAATAGGGAAACAGAAAAATCTCAGAGAGCAAGCTGCCACAATTTTTTTTTTAACACTACCCCAAAACAACAGAAGAAGGAGCTCTGTGCACTTACAAAAACTACCCGGAACCACCTCTCTTTCTAAGAGTTTTTGAAAACTAATTTCACATAAAAATGAGCAACAGAAATGTATCTAGGTCAACTCCCATACGAAGTTATTATAAGAAGAAAAAGATTAAGGAACAGAATAACATCCCTACAGATAGTAAAAGCGTGCCAGAAAGTCATGCCAAAAAAGGATTAAAACATAACATATTATTTCTAAACATATTATTTTAAAATGAGCTAAGAGGCGCTAATAAAATGATATAAGACATGAAAAAGTAGCAAGAATAAGAATTAGAAAAACTCAAATATAAAATAAAAGAACCCAGGAAAAAATAAAACATGAAACAAAGAATAAAGTGAAGTCTGAACTAGCATGAACACAAGAACAACTGAAAACGGTCGCTGGGGTCTTCAGTGAAACAAGGTAGAAAGGAGGAGCAATTTTAAGATAAAAAATAAACAAAGAGATTAAAGTAAATTCAAGAGACAGGCAAAATAGCAAAGACAGGCAAAGAAGAGTCAAAATGTGGATAATAGAAATCCCAGAGGAAAGAAACAAAATCAAGAAAACTAAACAAACTCTAATACCTTCCCTAAAACTAGAAAATATGTATTTGAAATAACACTGAGAGAGCACACTGCGTACCTGAGAACATCAATACACAACAGCTGGCACCAAACTATCTTCCAGATAGACGACTAAATTTTATAGAAAAAAAATCCTCTCAACTTCAAAGTGTAAACAGCAAATAACTTGTAAGGACAAGGTAAATCTGATTATTAATAGGCTTTTGAATAATATATTTAAGATGCTCAGGGAAAGACATTGTGTGCCGAGTTTTATATACAGAAAAGCATTGACTTTCAAGTATAAAGGGCTCAGACAGCCCATTATCAACATGCAAGAATTCAAGGAATATTTGTTCCTACATTCTTCTGGAAGAATGAACTTTAGACAACAACTCAACTAGAAAGACATTCATATAAGGGCTGGTGGTGAACACTAATCATACAGTTGCTGATGCAGCTGAGACTAAATGAGGGTGAAAAGGGAGCGGATATTATATGTCGTGACTGTGCTCAGATAATGTAGGACAATGATTAAAAAGGGTGGTGGGAAAGGCATAGGCAAAAAAAACGATTTTAACTGCTCATAAGAATTAGAAAATGTATTAATGATGGTAGCATTAGAATCAATAGTCTTGAGACTATTTGATGTGCAAGGAAGGGTAGGCAAATGAGTAATGATTGGAGATTTTTATTCTATCAGTCTCTTGGTCCTTGAGAATTGGGACTTTGTGTGGCAAGAAGGAGATATAGATACAACACAGAAGACATTAAGACAAAATTTTGTGGTTCTGAATTTGAGTTTGAAGTGTCAGTAGGAAGTCGGTTGTTTTATCTCAAAGCTGACGTTTATGAATGTATACACATGGGTTTCCTATTTCTGCCCACTGAAGAGGCATAGAAAGAATGGCCAACTCAGTAACAATGAACATTCCTAAGCATCTGGTTTGTGGTCTTAAAACATTATTTCTCACTAAAAGAAACCAGGGCTTCTGAGAAAAAATGACTGATTTCAAGGCTGGGGCTTGAAAGGTACAAAGCAGGGCTGGAACATCTTGTGATATCAGTTAGTGAAGAAACTATCGAAGGTTACTGAGGCTCATGTCGAAAGGACTTGAGTCAGCTCGCGGTGGGGGCCCCTGGTCAAAGCTTGATGGGATTGTCTGAGCTTCAAAAGGATAATAATTACACTTTACTGAAACCCATCAGGTATGCTTAAGTTCCTAAGTTTATCAGGATATTTTAAGGCAAAACTAATTGCTTGCTGTGAGATGATAACAGAAAACCATTCCATTACCTTGAAAACTGATAAAAGGAAAATAATCAAGCATGTATCCTGCCTTTCCCAGATGCCTTTGCACTAGGTACTGTGGGAAAAAATGTTTCTAAAATATAATGTGAGAAAGCATCCAATATATGTCAATTAATAAATAAGAAATAATAGATTAGGATATCAAAGATTTTAAACCCCAATAAATTAATAGATATCATCATTGAACATCGACAGCTGCTACCATCACAGAAAGGGTCTTGGCACAGTGGCTCACAACACACCTGTAATCTCGGCGCTTTGGGAGGCCAAGGTAGACAGATCACTTGAGACCAGGAGTTAGAGACCATCCTGGGCAACACAGAGAGACCCTGTCTCTACAAAAAAATTTAAAATTAGCTGGTGTGATGATCCGTAGTCCCAGATACTTGGGAGGATGAAGCAGGAGGATCTCATGAGCCCAGGAGATCGAGGCTACAGTGAGGACTCCAGCCTGGGCGACAGACTGAGACCCTGTCTGAGACCCTGGGCGACAGACTGAGACAAACAAACAGGGCTGGGCGCGGTGGCTCATGCCTGTAATCCCAGCACTTTGGGAGGCTGAGGTGGGTGGATCACGAGGCCAAGAAATCGAGACCATCCTGGTCAACATGGTGAAACCCCGTCTGTACTAAAAAAAAATACAAAAAATTAGCTGGGCATGGTGGCACGTGCCGTAATCCCAGCTACTTGGGAGGCTGAGGCAGGAGAATTGCTTGAACCCGGGAGGCAGAGGTTGCGGTGAGCCAAGATCGCGCCATTACACTCTAGCCTGGGTAAAGAGAGCGAAACTCCGTCTCAAAATAATAAATAAATAAATAAAATTAGAAAATAAAAATAAACAAAAAGAAGAAAGGAAAGAAAGATAAAAGATAAAACCACCTATGGCCGCCTCCTGATGAAAGAAAACAATATCATTTATAGGCTTGTCAAAGGAATCAGACTGGAATAGGATCAAGCTTCTGGTCAAGCTGCCAAGTTTCAGGAAATACAGAGCACAGAGAAGCATACTCAATTATGCTACAGGAATGCAATCAATACCATTCAGACTGTGGGAAACACTACAGGTCAAATTCCACAGGCAAATGGTAAGAAAAAGAAAGGAAACGTACAGATTAAAATCGCTTGAAACACACATCAACATTTTAAATACTGGGCAATGTTATGGAATCATGGGATGCCCAATGAGTGATAAAGCTATGACAATGCAATAAAATAATTACCATAAAAGTCAGCACATTGAGCTTTTTGCAGGGGGAGGATGGGATGGGGCAGGTGGATGGGACTTCCGGGGAGGCCATTGATCTGTTCTTCCTTGACCCGGGCTATGTTTACAAGGGCGTTCACCTTTCAGCAACTGATGAAGCTATATACTTGGTTTGCATGGTTTTCTACGTTTGTCTTGTTTTTACGAAGAAAACCAAAAAAGATTACTGGCAGAACAATATACATTGTTCATGAATTCATACAAGTGAATGTGTAAATATAAAATCTGACAAGAATGACACTCACTAAGTTCATGTGAAGGGTTCCTTCTAGGGAGTGGGGCTGGGGAGAATGGAACTGGAAGAAGGGAAACGGAAGGCTCCAAGTTTAGCCGCCACGTTTTAATTTCACAAAAGGAAGATGTAATTATGATGTGAATATATTAACATCTTAATGGTTCATTTGGGACATTCTACACACATGCAGTTGTGTGTTCTCTTCTCCCAGTCCTTGTTTTTGAATTCTAAACATTTCAGCCTGTGAGTGTGTCCTTGTTTTTGAATTCTAAACATTTCAGCCTGTGAATGCATATTATGACTAAGTTGGGTAAATTCTCTGAAAAGACTTGGATGCTCTTGGCACAGCCTACTGTGTCAAAGGTACAATTACCATTAGTCGGACTACCTTACTTAACAGAAAAAATCATGTAGGTGCCATAGATGAATTAGTTCCCATTACGTGAATAAAAATTTGAGTCTCAACAAAGTTTATTCATTATGACTGTTCAAGTAACAGTATTCCATAATGAAAATATAATTAATATTTTCTTTCTACTAATATTGAAAAGCAAATATGCAAGTCTCTTGAACCATCAATCAGTTTCTTCTTTCGGTGGATGTATAAGGGACTTTACTGAGGTCCAGTTTAAATCAACGAAATACTCCAGATTATTTTCCCATTTGAAATTTTGAGGTCAGTTGTCCTCCCAGCCCAAAGCTCTGTGTTGGTAGGGCTAGGTGTGCACCTTGGTATGTGGATATTGGTCAATTCAACATAAAACTATTGAAAATTATTCTTTAATTTGACTTCTTAGTACTTAAGGCAGTGATCAGTAGATAAGCAAATTATTATTAATGTGGCACATCAAGCAACAATTGGCCATTCAACATTTTATTCCCTAAGTGTCTACAGCACTTTTATTATGTCATGATGGAAAATGAATGTCAGGGAGAAGTCGCCTAGAGCATTTTTTTTGTTTTAATTTCTATAAGCCCCATAAGAGTTTCAACCCGCACAAATAGCACCATCAGATTCTTCTCTGTAAGCATGGGCAGGAAGTAAAGCCAGTCATGATGACTCATCAGTGAGAGGACAAGCAGACCCCCAGCAGGATGACCCGTCCCATATTTACCAGGCAGGTAGCTGCACAGTCTCTCCATCGCTCCCTGGACCGTCGAGTTGTGAACTTGAGCGAGCTGTTCAATCACAGACACCACCAGCACACACCCTGCCAGGGAGGAGAAGACTACGTCACCAGTGTAACATAGAAAACTGAACTGGAGGGACGGGGGAAAGAAAGGTGTGTGTGTCTGTGTGTGTGTGTGTGTGTGTGAGTGTGTGTCCTGAAGAAGGCCAGCCTTTCCAGAACAGAGAAAGTGATGATGTTTAAATGAGATAGTGCAAGGGAAACAGCCCACACAGAGTAGAAGCTCAGTAGATGTTAGCTTCTCTCCTCCACGATTTCTCCCATTTCTGCAGTAGATGGCTGCAGAATAGTATCTTTCCCGTCCTACACATTTCACTTGGTAGGAGGAGAATCCTGGATCAAATTTTTAATTTTGGAAAAGAGATGGAAATTGCCTGGCATTTGAAGTGGAAAGATCTGGGAATGAGTCCTGACTTAGTAATCTTGAACTCACCGTGTGGCCTTTCTGAACCTGGTTTCCTCCTTGCAAAGCAAGTAATACGTTTCCCGTAGGGTTGGTGTGATGGTTAAATCAGATAAAAGTGAGACTGAGTGTGTCTTTGAAATCATAGCACACTGTAAAATATTATTTCACCTCACAGCTATCAGGCATACTACTTGAAAGCATGCTTGAACAAGATAAGTGTCTAGGTGGACACCTATTAAGTTAGGAATATATTCCTTCTGCTACTTTGATATGTGATAAGTGTGAATGCCTAGAGCTGCTAGGCTGACATTCCTAGAAAATTCTATCACCTGCCTTGACTTACTGAGCTGCAAGGGAAAGCCAACCCTCCTTTTTGCAAAGGAAAGGGACTCTTTTTTTTTTCTTATAAACAAGTGATTGGTCAAAGATCAGTAGGTATGAGAAGAAAGTGTTATATCTCATTGCAGTAACAAGAATGGACACTTACTAGCAGAGGTTCATTTCTAAGGAGGCAAAGGAAGGTTTACGCCCTACAGAAGTTCCAGGGGGCCTGGGCCAGCAGTAGGCTCATGATTGTCCATCTGTGCAAGGAGCTAGAGACCCACATTTACAGGCATGGTGTCATTTAGACCAAATTCCCAGCAGGAGTCCTTGAGGGAAGGTGGTTGATAACAGATATGGACAATATAATTGGGCATTTCTATACATAAAGAAGTAAAATCTGTAAAATGAGAGATTGCTGCCGGGTGTAGTGGCTCACGCCTGTAATCCCAGCACTTTTGGAGGCCAAGGTGGGTTGATCACGAGGTCAGGAGTTCGAGACCAGCCTGGCAAACGGGGTGAAACCCCGTCTCTACTAAAGATACAAAAAAATTAGCCAGGCATGGTGGTGTGGGCCTGTAATCCCAGCTACTCAGGAGGCTGAGGCAGGAGAATTGTTAGAACCTGGGAGGCAGAGGTTGCAGTGAGCTAAGATCTCGCCATTGTACTCCAGCGTGGGTGACAGGGCGAGATGCCATATCAAAAAAAATAAAAATAAAAAAAGAGAGAGAGAGGGAAAGAGAAAGAGAGATTGCCAATGAAGAAATGAGAGACTTCCACTTTGTAGACACTGAAATGTCCAATGGTGTTTTGGCCTCGATGTTCTGTCCCCTCTCTCTGGATAAAGAGAAAGGTTCACCACATCTGCCACAGTGACCTCTGGTTTACCACAGTCTTTCTGGGCACTGGGAGTACCTACTTGAGGATGCATTGCTCACCATTACCCACCAAGGTTGAATGGCTGTTTCTGGCCTCATGCGTGGCGCTCGAGGATTTCCTCACATTGCAACGAATTTAGTAGCTACATTTATTAGCACTTCATGGTTTTGCACTTTCATGTATATTTGTTTTATTTAAAAACAACTTTTCAAAAACTATAAACACGCTGCAATCTCATTTTTCAATTTTGCAAAATACATAACAGTATAAGAAAAGATAATAATCATCACTCGACCCATCCAGAGATAACCAATTTTACTTTTATTATAAATGTATAAAATAAATATTTTTTAATACAAATAAATATTTTTGACATTAATAATGTATTTTATACCCTGATTTATGTCTCTGATAATCACCTATTATGATAGGTGGAGTTAAATAAATTTTAACAAGTACAACTAAAAAATAATGATAAGTAATTACATTGCTCTGTGATAAGAGGATGCAGTGTGGCATAGTTGAAAAGAGAGAGGCTTTGACATAAACTTGAGTTCAAATGCTGGACCAGCCCCTTACAAATGGAATGGGGTCTTACCATCTCTTTGACTTCCTGGATTGGAGAATAAAGGCAAGAGACTTTAAGTTACACACACACACACACACACACGTATGTATTTGTATAGAGATATATATGAGTTGAGCTCTTGCTATCTTGGCCAGGCTGGTTTCAAACTCCTGGCCTCAAGAGAAGGGAGGTTTACTGGCTTGAGTGAGCTGCCTCTAGAGCCGTGTGAGTTGCATTGCAGTTGTCAGTTGCTGGGGGTCTCCCTAGCCAAGGGCTGATGGATGCACCTTCGGTTGCTTCTCAGCTCAGTCATCTCACCCAAGTTGCTTCCTCTCTGTTCCAGTCTCCACTTGTGGACACGTCTCCACTCCTCATTCTAGCGTGAAACAACCAGTGCCCTCTCTAGTGCCAAATAGCAGCTTCTGTAGCAAATGGTCATGATGTGCTGCTGTTACTTAGTCTCTTCGTGCAGCTATAACAAAATAGCTGGGACTGGGTGATTTCTAATAACAGAAATTTATTTCTCCCAGTTTTGGAGGCTGGGGGATTTAAAATCAAGGCACCAGCTTATCTGGTGTCTGGTGAGGGCTTGCTCTGTTCCTTCATAGATGACACCTCCTGCTGCATCCTCACGTGGCAGAAGGGGCAGAAATGCTGGAGCATTGTGTCCTCCCATGGCTTTGATGGGCCTCTAGATGAATAGAATATGATCTCTGTTCATAGGAAGCTCACAATGAACTTTCAGCAATCACATGACCTGGATGGTAAATCCAGTCAAAAGCTAGGGGAGATGTAATTTTGGAGAGATCATAGCAGAGCAGGTGGGAGAAGAGGCACTCCCAAGAGACAAACAAGCCTTGGTGGCCTGAAACCACCGGTATATTTCTCCATATGTTTCTCGCTTTAATCCGCAGCAACCTTTCTTTCTCATTATACCTAAAATAATATTCTTGCAATCGATGGCATAAGAGAGTTGATGAGATGCAAGAATTGAAAACCAACAATAGTTTGGCACAGCAGGAATGGTGGGTGATGGTAGGGGATAAGGTGACCTTTCCTTGGAATTTGACCTTGAGGTGCCTCCACTCCTAGTGACCCCAGTGATAATAAATTTTGGATACTCTTTCCTTTCCCTGAAAATTCAACTCCAGCATTTGCATTTGTTTTAATCCATGACTTAGAAGGAGAAATTCAAAGCGAATGGGGCAGCTTGAAACCAACCTGTTTCTTTGTACTTACACATATGGGATTTTCTTCTGAGTTTTACTCAGAGAAATCCCATCAAGGACTCCTATGACAGTTGTGGCTTCTCAGCACTGCTGGCTAAAATTGGAAAATCATTAGGTAGATAAAAAGAAGCAAAAAAAAAAAAAGTTATCTGTCTCTGTTCACTGAGCGAGCCTTACCACTACCGTCACTTTGCCCAGTCAAGAGTTATGATGATCAAAAGGACCCTGCAGAAAAGGCCATAGTGGGGTTTGAAACTGAACACCCAGGTTGGGCTCAGCTCTGATCTGGAGTCCCGCTCACTCGGCCATCTCCGCCTGTCTCCAGTGGGCTCAACTCCCCTTCCAGTTGAATTGCTAATTTCAGGTGTGCAGTGAGATGTGTTCTGAATCCTTTGGCAACGCAAACGGAGAGATTGACTTTTCTACAGTTTCCAATAAGCAGTTTCACTTCCTTGACAGGCTAACGAATGTTTTTCCTGGGAGAGATGCATGGGCAGAGTAATTCCTCCCATTACAGACTATTCTCTAGCTGCTAATAAAAGGCGTGGCTCTGTTAAAACGAATTTGTCTGAGTTGCTGTTCATTTAGGAAGTGAGGAAAGGGGGCGAGAGCTATGCATTTTGCTCAGTGGCCTCCATCTCAAATCTCACATACAGGAAATCTCTTCTCACTTGGTATCTGAAAATAATGAGTGTAATAGAAACAGACACTCCTGGTAGCACGGAAAAAGAAGCAAATGGGCTCGAATAAAAACACCTGCCACAGGGATCACGTCTGGCCACATACCTCAGGTAGACTGCAGATTGGGCCAAGGAATCCTTTTGATGTGAAACAGACTCCTGAAACTCTAATTATAATCATATCTGTGCTGGCTGGAAATGCAGCCAACTGCGGAGAGTGGTCTATTAGATTTCCCATTTGTCTGAAACCCACACTTCGCTGAAAAGCCTTGAAAGCACCCGGCGGTTGTGAGAGCCACAGTCAGCATGACTCTACTTCCTTTCTGACCCTGAGTAGAAGCATGAATAATTCATCACATTGCTGGAGCGTGCCCTGTGGTTTTCAAAGTATTTTTGCGTACATTATTATCTCATTCAAACTTCACACCAACTCATAGATGCAGGAATCATTACTCTCATTTTACAGATGAGCACATGGAGCCTGAATGGGTAACCACCTTGCCAAGCTTACAGCTAGTAACAGGGGAAATTGGGACTTGAACACAATGTTTGGTGAAAAGAAAACCAGAAAGAAAGGTGCAAAAATAGTCGCCTCAAATGCATCCCACTGCTGGTCTTGTTTCCCTAATATGTTAGTTACTCAGAGAGCGTGGCACATAACCCTGGTGTGAATCTCACTGCCACTTACCCTTTCTTTCTTCTGCTGCCTACTCTTAGAGTCTGAACATGGATAGAGAGAGACAAGGGAGGAGAAAGAAAGAGAATGGAAGGGAGGAAAACGAAGGCTGCGTACAGGGCTCTGGTATAGCAGAGAGTAGAAGAACTGGGGGGTCAGAGAGACCTGGGCTCAAATCCTGCTTCTACTGTGAATTGGTGTATTTGGCAGGATTCCGGCCCCCACAGAATGGAACAACAGTGGCCCTTGTTTGGTATATTAG